TAATACTTTGGTAGTAGTGTCACCACATGGTGGTTTTAAATTGTTTCATAAAATGACTTTTCCCCTACCGTTAGTGATGGTGTGCGAGATGCCACCACCGGGGTTAGTGCCTTGACCCCGCAGCAAATCCGCAGCTTGATTTAGAAGCCTTCCAGCCTCCTTCAGTGAATTGTTATCCATCGGTGTTTCGGGATAAAATGGCTTAAAATAATTAGCTTTTGTTATCGTGAGAGGCAAGTATTACAGAGGAGGCTATGCTTAGGAAGAAAATTACATTCAGCCTTAAGATGCGATATTTTGCTGACCTATCTTGAAATGGACGATTCCGTTGTCCTTTTCTGAGAGTGCTGTGCGCATCCATTTCTGCGACTACGTTGTTCGTTTCTGTGAGTGTCTTTTGTTGTCTGTTTTTGCTAATACCTTGTACGTTTCTGTGAAAGTTCTGTGAAACGTTTTCCTTTACAGAATGTACGTTGTAGGTTTCTGCGAGTAGGTTGTACGTTTTTGCGAGTAGGTTGTTCGTTTGTAACTGTATTTTTGGCGGCGATAGCCTTCCACTCCACTGTGGGCAAAACATTCGATCGCCCAGGATAGAATAAATGCACAGGAAATCAGGATACTGGTTACCTTTTTTTGTTGTGCCAAACATACGAAAGCTAAAACCGAAAGATAATATAATACATACTCCAAGTATCGAAATGCACGCCATCGTGTCGGGATTCACGAAAGCTACATAGATGAAATTCAATGGCATAGTTATATATTATTAGGAATCGACAAAAAGAAGCCTACTCTTAGTCTGTTATTTTAAAGAAAATGGTACAGGAGTGCTACCGAAATAGTATATTTATGTTTACAATCTCTTATTTTGCATGCATCAAGGACTGGTGCTGTCCAGTGTCCAACTACGCATGCGCAAGAGTGTGACGGTAGGACGTGAGATTCGTAACGGTGTTGCTGCTAGGTAATCCAGGTAGCTATAATTTGAGCGTGACGTGTGCATAATCAAGGGACACCTTAGAAATACACCTGCCCTAATTCTATTTAATTAACAATAGTTCGGTGACGTTAATTTATGCAAACACGTGTGATGCGAGTTGCATTGTATAGGAAATACAGTTAGGTTGGTCACTGGACAGAAAGATCCCTTACCCGGCGGATCGGCACCGTTTGTGTGGAAAGGCATATGTTAGCCAATGCGGAATGGTACTGCGTGTTGTGCGAGATACAACCTGGTAGTCAGTAACGTTGTTAATAATAATAATAATAATAATAATAATAATAATAGTAATAATAATAATAATAATAATAATAATAATAATAATAATAATAATAATAATAATAATAATAATAATAATAATAATAATAATAGATGAATTTATATAGCGCAAATAAACGAGGTCTCTATGCGCTAGACAATATTGAAGTCAAGAAAACAAAGAAAAAAAGCCGGGGGAAAAAACAAAACAATAAACACCAAGCTAGCACCCAAACCGAAGTATGGGGTTACACCATCACCGCCAACCGAAGATCTGTGTTTATGTACTCCGGTTAGCATCGGTTAAGTCTTGATCTTTTCTGGGATCTGGTGCCTCCTAACCTAGAACAAACAACACTATCTAGTGAGGTGAAACAGAGAAATTGAAAAAAAAGAAGAAAAAACGAGATATAAAAAATAAATTTGTATTTTGTAAATACTGCAGAAATACAAATACAATCTATATTGACAACTAAAATCCTAATAGGCCTATTCCGGGTCATGTAGAGAATCTAGACAATTATTACAAAATACGACGTGACATCCTGTACAATGGTAGATAAATGCGCCGTAGGCTTAGTATTTTCTAAAATATTAACTGTGAAATAACTTGAAAGGGTAAAAACGAACCAAACTTGTTAATTACTAAAACAACAGAGGTTAATCAGGCGTAACTTTCATCATAATCCTATTATGATATTATGTTTTTAGACATACATTAATTTTATGTATGTTTTAACCGTTTTTAAATTCCTAATAATCAAGATTCCATACATTAACATATTAACTTAGTACTTAAATCATATTGACCTCTAGACCTACTTAACTGTAACATAGTAATTATGATATAATATGATAGTAGGGCCTACATTGTAGCAAATGCGAGATTTTCGAAAATTTCAAATAAAGCAGTATACTTCACGGGCGTTTACTACTCATTCTTTTATTCAATGTCATGCATGTCTAAACAAGATCACGTTGCACACTATAGAATTGAAAAGGCTGTTTTTAACTAAAAAAAAGAACCATCTGTTTATTGATCAAAATACTGTACAAATGGTACACACGAACATACGACCTCCAGATAACTAGCCTGGCACCGTAACCAATAGACTACCGAACTTGTGCTTAGTAAGTGTTGAATCCGAGTAGCAGCGGGTACAGCAAATGCTTTTTCGATATGAGTTTGGGTCAGGAAAATATCATAGGAGTGATGTTTTGCCCTACCTGACGTGTTTTCGTACCGAATACTCAGTACGTTCTCAAATACTTGCGAAAACATTCGCAAGTGATTCAGGTGAGAAACGAACCCACTACCCACAGATTAGCCTGGCGCCATAAACAGTAGACAATCGAGCTTGCGCTTAGTAATGTTGAATCCGATCCCCAAATAGCAGCAGGTACTGCAAATGTAGTTTGGAGGTCCTGGGTTCGATTCTCATCCGAATCATTTGCGAAATATTTTCGCAAGTATTTGGGAACGTACTGAGTATTCGGTAGGAAAACACGTCAGGTAGGGCAAAACATCACTCCTGTATTAAGATATTCCTTCGGTGACTAATCATCACCAAATGAAACAGCGCTAGACCACGGTGTGAAGATTAAAATATTGCTATCATTAA